TTTCGTGTTACTGAATTTTATTGTCTTATTCAGAGAGACAGTGTTGTCTTGTCAAATTCGCTGTTGATTATTTGTTCGACTGGACTTGTTTTTGTTCCAGTCTGGGGGCAATTAGTGGTGAGGACGTCTGGCCGAGAGGTACCCAAGTGTTCATAAAGACCCTGTGGAGTCAGAGCTCGTGTCACCTCATCCCTGAGACAGGTTGAATGGAAAGTTTGAACCGAGGGTTAGGCCTCTAGACGAACGAGAGCCACCATTCAAAACTCTCCTGTCTCAGAGCACCTGAGGGATTGGTGAAAATATCCTGTAAGTAAGGTGCGCGACAAAACTGCCATACGACAACATCCATCTGACACATTAGGCTTATTTGTATGTAGACTGCTGGCTAATCACTTCTCAGGTAGACACACTCCAACTTGAAAGGAAACATCCCTCATTAGTTGACTATTAAGACATATTTGTTAGAGGACAGTGAATCTATTCTTTTCTCCCCTTGCCCCCCCCCCCTTTCTCCCCTTGCCCCCCCCCCCTCTTTTCTCCCCTCCCCCACAAACACAACAGGAAACTGGAACCCACAGTGAAAAAATCAATGTTCTACTCCCTGCACAGTGGGTAATGAGGTCAACATCATGCCAAGTGCTTTCAATTCCTGAACACTTCCTGGTATCAACTTTCAGCTGGGTTGATCTAAGAGCCAATATCACACTGATGGGGATTCAAACCTATGATCCTCAGGTTGGAAGGCAATTAACAGCCTGCCTATGATGAAGTGGTGGCTGGCCTTCTCCATAGACTTGGTGCCAGCTGATGTTTTCTGTCTCCCTCACTCAGATCAGGACAGTGATGGTGTTAGATCGGGACAGTGATGGTGTTAGATCGGGACAGTGATGGTGTTAGATCGGGACAGTGATGGTGTTAGATCGGGACAGTGATGGTGTTAGATCAGGACAGTGATGGTGTTAGATCAGGACAGTGATGGTGTTAGATCAGGACAGTGATGGTGTTAGATCGGGACAGTGATGGTGTTAGATCAGGACAGTGATGGTGTTAGATCAGGACAGTGATGGTGTTAGATCAGGACAGTGATGATGTTAGATCAGGACAGTGATGGTGTTAGATCGGGACAGTGATGGTGTTAGATCGGGACAGTGATGGTGTTAGATCAGGACAGTGATGGTGTTAGATCAGGACAGTGATGATGTTAGATCAGGACAGTGATGGTGTTAGATCGGGACAGTGATGGTGTTAGATCAGGACAGTGATGGTGTTAGATCAGGACAGTGCTGGTGTTAAATCAGGACAGTGATGGTGTTAGATCAGGACAGTGATGGTGTTAGATCAGGACAGTGCTGGTGTTAGATCAGGACAGTGATGGTGTTAGATCAGGACTGGTGTTAACCAGTAACAAACAGACAGGTTTCAAACAATGAGTTTCAGGTACGTTAAACATCTGTGCAAACTCTAACATAAGTTTTCAGTTGCTGAAAGAAAGAAATAACTGACAGTCCTGTCAATGATCACCACAAAATACCAGCCAAGGAAATTGTACAAACTATATAGAACATGTTACTTGCCTTCTCTCCAATTTCAGTGATGTCTGCGGCAGGCAGCTGTTCGATGTCTGGCAGTAAGGCACAAGCTGAGATCACTTTCTTGTACCTGGAGTTTACAGTCAAACAAAAAACAATATTTTTACACAGGAATGCAAAAGAGAATAACAAAGTCATCTATCGCATGACCCCCAACCACAGAAACCTGGAACTGCACAATTCAAACAACCATGAAGAAGTCTGAAGTGAAGATTGTAGGAGGAGGAGGAGGAGGAAGGTGACTGAGTTAAGGGCTTATGATCATTCTGGGACAAAATTAACAACAACAACTAGAGAAAAATTGAAGACACTACAATTTAATCAAGTTTAATCCTTTCATCTAGAGACGCCAATAACATGGCATTTCCGTCAGTTACAAACTGGTATGTAGGATGTTAAACTGATGCACTGGCCTGTCCCTGATGAGCCTAGTTAATGGCATTGGTTCTGTTTGCACCTGCACAGTATTTAGGAGGATCACATATGATTTTAATTTTTACAATATAGTATTGTGGGGGGGGTGGGGGGGGGGGGGGAGAGGGGGGGGGGAGGGATCGCATAAATACAGAAATTAATTTCTTTTTTTCCATTTATTACTCATATTTTTAACGTTATTAAAATAATATAAATAAATGTGTTTTAAATGTTTGAATATTTTTTTTTTAAATGTTTTCTGGTAATGAATTTAAATAATGCGGACACAAACAATACACTGCACAATTTATTGCCAGGCATATTTCGCTGTATCTCATCAGGTGCATTACTATAGAGTTACAACATAAAATAAAGCACAAACTGAATAAATTCACTTGAAACGCGAAAAGGTTCTTCCGATACACTGTGTCTGTTTCATTGTAGTCACGTGACTTACCAGGGTAACTTCAAATTTACAATAAATTCTGTCCGCTTACAATGGAGGGAGTTGTTGAATTTTTATTGTTAAAGCTTTGGCGATCCACACTCCGAACAGGAGACTTTTGAGAATGGCCAAAGCTTTAACAATAAAAATGTAATGCACCCTTGCTTGATGTTACTGGGAACCAACCTGTGAGGCCAGCTCTTGTTCTAATGGCATTTTCACTTTCTTTATAAATAGCTCTTACACAATCTAGCACTGATCCATTGTCACCAGTTTTCAAGGATATGATCTCGGTTGCTTGTGTGAAATGACAAATGTTGAACACTTACTTGCGCCATACAAAAGGTTTTCCAAAGAGAATGTTGTCCTTCAGTGAAGCATTGAGAAGCCAAGGCCTCTGAGACACATAGGCAACATTGAGATTCCTGAATAAGAAATCAATCATTGTGAATATTCTAGCAAAACGTCTTATAATTACTCAAGGAGCCTTTTCTCATGTCACATTCTACACTGCTGGCTGATATCTCTGCATTGGTGATGTGTATCAAGCCAGCTAGATTTATTTTCTAAGACATTTCCAGGTACCCATTTTGAGCGAGGTTCCTCTTTTTTTCTTCACGTTCACCAGCTGTAAACACTGGCAGAAAGTTTTGGTTGTTGTTCTGCTTCCAGACTTTAGTCTTGTTCCAGAACTTTATTTTTTTGTGCACATCTGTTTTACAAATCTGGTTTATCTCAATGCAGACTGTTAGTTACTTTCCTCTCAAGCAGATGCACTGTGACTCTGAAGGACCCCTAATTATTCGACTCCTATGACATGTTTGTTGGAGAGGCAGTGGGTTTATTCTTGATGTTCCTGAAAACAGTAGGTATGATGATGGGTTGATGTGCAGCTAACATCCCTGCCATAGAAAGGATTCAAACATGTGACCCGGCAGGCAACCAAACTAGCATTACTAGTTACCCAGATTTGCTACTGACAATCACAGATTGTTTCACTGCTACCTGATTTCTGCTGACATGATCTGAGGTGTTCTGTTCTGCTATACAACAGATTATAGTCAGAATACAATCAAAACAAACAGACTCTGTGTGTTGCAAATTCACCGAAGCTGATCTGCAGTATGTCTATGAGAAAACAAGAACACAGAATGCTAGAGATCTAATGCAACTGGCAACCTTCAATCTGTCTATGAGTTCTTTTTATTTTGTTTACCCTGATGCCCCCTATTACTGGCTTTCAGATGAGAAGGCCACAAGCCTCTGTAAAGGATGTTGGTGCAACATCATGTCCTCCAGTGATCTATACAGCTTGGTTTCCCCAGAATGTCAACTGGCCACACCTCTATTGCATGTAGAGATCATGTCCTCCAGTGATCTATACAGCTTGTTTATCCCAAAATGTCAACTGTCCACACCTCTATTGCATGTACAGATCATGTCCTCACTGATCTATACAGCTTGTTTATCCCAGAATGTCAACTGTCCACACCTCTATTGCATGTAGAGATCATGTCCTCCAGTGATCTATACAGCTTGTTTATCCCAGAATGTCAACTGTCCACACCTCTATTACATGTAGAGATCATGTCCTCACTGATCTATACAGCTTGGTTTCCCCAGAATGTCAACTGCCCACACCTCTATTGCATGTACAGATCATGTCCTCCAGTGATCTATACAGCTTGGTTTCCCCAGAATTTCAACTGCCCACACCTCTATTGCATGTACAGATCATGTCCTCCAGTGATCTATACATCTTGGTTTCCCCAGAATGTCAACTGCCCACACCTCTATTGCATCTCCAAACAGTTGTTCTTCAAAGAAGATTTCCAACTGGTTCACACACTCTCTGGCTACAACCAAACTTGTTCTCATTAGAAGATCTCCAAACAGTTGTTCTTCAAAGAAGATTTCCAACTGGTTCACACACTCTCTGGCTACAACCAAACTTGTTCTCATTAGAAGATCTCCAAACAGTTGTTCTTCAAAGAAGATTTCCAACTGGTTCACATATTGTCTGGCTACAACCCAACAAACAGCAATGACAAACGCATGAGCACAGAACAGAAGTACCTGGCTTTGAACATGTTCCCTGAGACTTGAATCATCTCCCCCAAAAAGGCAGACAGTAGAGAAGACTTGCCAGATCCAACTTGGCCCACAATTACTGTCAACTTGCCTAGACAAGGTACCATATAAATTTACATATCCTAATGATTATTCACATAATTTTAGAATAATTATCAATAATGCCTTTTTTTTTCAAGGATGTTGTTGATGTAGTCTCTGTTGCTGTAATGCTGCTGCTGTCTGCAATGATCTGGAAGGGTTTAAGACTCTGGTGACCTGATACTTGGAAGAGCTTTGATAACTTTGAAAAGATGCTTGAATAGATGTAGAAACTGCCCTCCCGATTCCATGTTGAACTCCCATGTCCAATAGATGTAGAAACTGCCCTCCCAACTCCATGTTAAACTCCCATGTCCAATAGATGTAGAAACTGCCCTCCCAACTCCATGTTAAACTCCCATGTCCAATAGATGTAGAAACTGCCCTCCCAACTCCATGTTAAACTCCCATGTCCAATAGATGTAGAAACTGCCCTCCCAACTCCATGTTAAACTCCCATGTCCAATAGATGTAGAAACTGCCCTCCCAACTCCATGTTAAACTCCCATGTCCAATAGATGTAGAAACTGCCCTCCCAACTCCATGTTAAACTCCCATGTCCAATAGATGTAGAAACTGCCCTCCCAACTCCATGTTAAACTCCCATGTCCAATAGATGTAGAAACTGCCCTCCCAACTCCATGTTAAACTCCCATGTCCAATAGATGTAGAAACTGCCCTCCCAACTCCATGTTGAACTTCCATGTCCAATAGATGTAGAAACTGCCCTCCTAACTCCATGTTGAACTCCCATGTTCAATAGATGTAGAAACTGCCCTCCTAACTCCATGTTAAACTCCCATGTCCATGATGAAATTGCTCCTTCTTCTGTTTTGTAAGTTCAGAAACTAGCAAGGTGTTCAAAATATGACACATTTTGTCATTCCCCGCTGTCAAAAATGCAAAGACAGACAGTTTAAAACTACCATGGTAGCCCTCAATTTTGAAATGTATTGTGTGTGTTGTGTATCTCAACTGAAAGGATTCGTTGGTGTGCTTCATTACAGGCTGACTCAATTCTGACACGAGACAGTGAAATTTGCCAGGCAATCAATAGTGTCATCTTCATTGTATATATTTCTCATCATCAAAATGTGGAGAGTTTTTGGGACACTCTGCACACTGAAGGTCAGAAGTGTACATAGGCAAGTTATACAAACTGAGCTGTCATAATGCACAGGTACAAACAAATAGCACAGCCATGCTTGAAGCAGACACAATGTAGTTTTCTAGGACAAACATGAGAGTTTCACTGAGTCGAGCTGAAGTGTCAACCAACATCTCAGTACTTAGGACAATCCCATATGCTCTCTGTCCTCATCTTTAGTATCCAGTGAAGAGTTCCAATTCTGACACTACCAGTAACAATTATTTGTCCGTCTTGCCTTTCCTCCGAGTGTAGCCTGTCAATGTGACGACACAGTTGTATCTTTCACATCTCCCAAGCTCATTCAGATGTGCCTAAGTCAGAACATAATATATATGATGCTGGTTGTATGTCTCTTGATTGTATTTAACAGCACGGCCAGTGATGTAACAAATCGATTGATTAAACAATATAATGTAAATTTAAGCCGAACGAATATATTTCAATTAAACAACAGTAGGAACACTTCAGTATATTATTGCTAGCTATCCATATGTGTTGATAAGTTCCTTAATACAATGATAATTCATAACTTCAATCTATGTTACTAGGACGTTACTAGTGGGTCATTAACTATCTCTCTTAACGTCCTGTAGAAATATCTCTTCTAGCAAAGCTTAACCAGGTTGATCCTTATCAACCTTCTAACGCCAAGTTGTTCTCCTCCCTTCACTTCAATCTCCAGGCCCTGACTGTCTTTTTCTCCTCCCCAAACCCACGTGATTTCTTCACCCACTACCTCTCTCTTCCTCGTGTGGGTCAACAATCACCACCCGTCACCCTTCATCCTGTTCCATCTTATCATCCCCAGGTGTTCTTTTGAGATTGTCTGTCCGTGGTCCCTCTAGAGACTATCGTCCGTCGTCTTATCTTCCTGACACCTGTTCTCTCTCTCTGTTTGGCTTGCCTGCTTATCAAGCGTATACATCCGTCAATGTCAGATGTCACGGCTTCATTTGGATAAACATACTCTGTTCAACTCTCCTAACCCTATTTCACTAAATCAAGACTTATCACTCGTGACTGCGCCATTCTCTCCACACTATAATGATCTATTAACAAACATGGAAGATAAGAAGGAAGAAAGAGAAATGTACCTGTGGGTATTCTTACAGATATATCTTTGAGAGTTATCTCCTCTTTGTTCAAGTGCCAGGTAAAATTTCCTCCTTGCACCTCTATTGCGTAGTGCTGATCCAACAAAGGGTCTTCCATCGCTGCATCATCCTCCTCCTCCATCGACCTCTGACTGTGGTGACGCCGACGCTTGTAATCACCTATTCAAGAAAGGATTGGTAGCCTGTAATCATGTAACTAGTAAGGATATCGTGACCTGTAATCATTTAATTAAGAAATGATTGGTAGCCTGTAATCATGTAACAAGTAAGGATATCGTGACCAATAATCATTTACTCAGGTCAGGATATGTAACCTGTAATCATTTACTCAAGTCAGGATATGTAACATGTAATCATTTACTCAAGTAAGGATATGTAACCTGCAATCATTTACTCAAGTAAGGATATGTAACCTGTAATCATTAACTCAAGTCAGGATATGTAACCTGTAATCATTAACTCAAGTCAGGATATGTAACATGTAATCATTTACTCAAGTAAGGATATGTAACCTGCAATCATTAACTCAAGTCAGGATATGTAGCCTGTAATGATTTACGCAAGTAAGGATATGTAACCTGTAATCATTAACTCAAGTCAGGATATGTAACCTGTAATCATTAACTAAGTCAGGATATGTAGCCTGTAATCATTTACACAAGTAAGGATATGTAACCTGTAATCATTTACTCAAGTCAGGATATGTAACCTGTAATCATTAACTCAAGTCAGGATATGTAACCTGTAATCATTAACTCAAGTCAGGATATGTAACCTGTAATCATTAACTCAAGTCAGGATATGTAACCTGTAATCATTAACTCAAGTCAGGATATGTAACCTAACCTGTCAAGTCAGGATATCATTTAACTCAAGTCAGGATATGTAACCTGTAATCATTAACTCAAGTCAGGATATGTAACCTGTAATCATTAACTCAAGTCAGGATATGTAACCTGTAATCATTAACTCAAGTCAGGATATGTAACCTGTAATCATTTAACTCAAGTCAGGATATGTAACCTGTAATCATTTACTCAGTCAGGATATGTAACCTGTAATCATTAACTCAAGTCAGGATATGTAACCTGTAATCATTAACTCAAGTCAGGATATGTAACCTGTAATCATTAAAACTCAAGTCAGGATATGAACCTGTAATCATTAACTCAAGTCAGGATA